CTTTCCAATCATTCCTAGACTGTAAAAGTCATCCGAGCACATGTCATTACATCATTCACATAATATGATGGATGAAGTCGTGATGCACTTTTTTTATGGTGAAGCTTGGAAATAATTTAATATGTATAGACGGACTCAATCTATTCAGGTCATTTGCTGCACCATATTTTTGTTGGATGGTGATACTCACAATTTGTAACTTGCCATCAGAAATATGTATATGGCCAAAGTTAACGATCTTATCTATTGTAATACCTGATCCTAATAGTATAGGAAGGAATATAAGTGTTTGTCTTTAATCGTTGATTGATGAATTGAAGTAGTTGTTGTCATTTGAGACTTTGACGTAAGATATCTTAAGGAAATAGGATTTTCAGATAAAGCAACTTTGATGTGGACTATTAATTTGTGTATGAAATAATTTTTTGTTAGAGCGCACATGAAAAATTAGCATGTCCATAATTTAGAGTTGATTTATGATGGGTCATGGATCACAAAGCCCAAAGTCGACTTTGTATTAAACATGAATATACTTTGAATATATCTAGATTGGTGAATTTAAACGATGATAAATTATATTAAATGAAAAGTCATGACTATCGTGTATTTATACAAACACTCATTCCATTTACTTACTGGTATTTATTGCCCAAAATGATATAGGATGAACTAATGAAGATCAATTATTTTTTTAGAGATATATGATATAATATGTTGTATACCCAACACATGGAGAAGCTTGACATGAATATCATCCAGACAATCTGCAAACTTGAGATGATGTCCCTTTCATTCATGGAGAAGCTTGACATGAATATCATCCAAACAATCTGCAAACTTGAGATGATGTTCCCTTCATCTTTTTTTAACTTAATAAAACATCTACCGTTTAAGGTAAAACATCCCTTCTTTATATTTTTTTTCCTAATTACCAATGGCAACAATAACATCACCAAACCACCATGATCTAGTTGTAACAACTCTTTGAAACACATCTAACAACAACCAAACCCATAGTGAAAAAGAAAAAACTTAGAGAGAGAAAAAAGGAAAAACAAAGAGAGAAAATTTTTTTTGGACATCCTAATCTACTCTTACATGGAGTAGTAAAGTTTGTTGGTAGTGTAAAAGTGAAAAGGAAAAAGGTTTACATCTAATAGAGTGACTCATTTGCCTCCCAACCTCATTGGTGCATGAAATGATTCACTAATAATGTTGGTAGCCTATCCATGTATGGTTTACATGCACCGCAATTGCCTCCCCTCATATTAGCTACTCTAGTTGAATCTAACAAATTTGAAAGGTCAATTTGAAACCCTAAATGGATTGTTGAATAATTTTAACGTGTTAATGAGTATTGGATTTATTATTTTTAATGATTTTTGGTTGATTGATAATTTGATATGGATGATTGTTGAAAATATTTAAGTGTTGGGATACAAATCAATGTGTGGAAACCTTGGTGATATGAAGGTGTCAACGAATTGTTTTTGAGATTGAATAAGGATGAAAATCAATACTTTGCAATAGGGTTGAGAAAATCAAGATTAATTTTGGTTTATCCAAGACATAATGGTTTGGTCTTGGTGTGAAATTTGATATATGTTGACTTTGTTTTTGAATTGATGTTTTGATAAGGTTTTTGAGATATGTTTTTAATTCATTATAATGTGACAATACTTTTAATTTTTGTGTTGATGTTTTTAATTGGACAATACTTTTAATTTTTGTGTTGATGTTGTTTTTAATTGTTGTGTGTTGATGTTATTTTTTACTAGTTATATTAGTATTGTTTTTGACTTGTGTTAATTATTTAATATGTAGTTGTATCACATAGTAATAATTTTATTATTTACCAATCCTTTATGATTAGTACTTAAAAGTGTATTTTTATCAAGATTTTATATCATCATTTTGCACTTGAAGTATCAATAACTTCTTCCCTAAAACATGTTTTATAATAATATATCTAATAATATAAAAAAACCTTTAATTTGTGGTAAATATTCATTTTAAATGCAGCCATATCATATAAATGAAAGGATTGATTGATGAATTTAAGAACTAAAATTGAAAGGA